AAAAGATCGGTTGTCTGTAAAGTCGGTTTACTGATGATAATTGAACGTGACAACCTCATAAGAAAATACTGATGGAATGGTTTCAGTTTTCAAAAGAAAATTTTGATTTTATTTGTTTAATAGATATTTTGTATGGATATAGAGAAGGAGGTAAATGGAATTGTATTATTGTATAGCAGCTGTCCACGCGGACGCATCGCTCACTCAAGTAGGAGAGAGACAGATGTCGAACGCTGCCGAACGCGAAGGACAATTGTGCCTCTTTGTCGCTCGTTCCGCGCTCTCGCTTGCACTTCAAGCTTTAAATGGAACGCCTCAGAGCGAGGTAACGCCGCATGAGTCATGTTTTTTCGTGCGTGCATCCGGCTCCATCGAATTATAAGACGTTGTCACGTCAAAAAAATTAATAAAGCTTCTCATAAAAATTTAAAGTATGAAACTTGACTATATATGCTAATATTAGTTAAAACTTTTCCATAATGTAACGAAGTAACATGCAGCTCCAAAAAAAAATTATTTATAGTGGACCCACAATGCAATAATCAAAGATTGTTAGCCTTATATTTCTTTGAAGCTAAATGGAGACAGAAAAATAAAAACACATTAACTGCCTTTCCTTCATACCAATAAATATTTGTTTTATGTATTTGCAACTATTCATAGTCTTTAAAAGGAAATATGGTCTTGAACTAACAAGCGTTTGTTTGGCACTTGTATGATTATTTAATTATAGTACCTATTAAACCCAACAACAGTTTATAATTGTTTTGTATGTTTGCAATAATTCGTGAATTAAGTAGATTAAATTATATTGCATCTTTAATTTATAGCACACCAAAAATTAATATTTAATAATGATACATATTCAATGTACGTAATACATTAATACATACTTCATTTTTAACTTTACAAAACCGTTTAAACAGACATCAGGATGTTTCAAACAAATAACATCATATACATATTTATTTTCAAATATGTTACCTCACAAGGCCTTTGACACTTACAGGAAATACAGCATCTGTGTAGGTTAAACAGCTAGAAGAAAAATGCCTTTGCTAATGCAGGAAAAATGTATTCCGAAGCATACCTGTAAAAAGAAAAGAACAAGTGAAAGCTAAAAATAATTATTTTATAGAACAAAAAAACAGTTAATCAATGGAAACAGTAATCTTGTTGCCAAAATAATACAATTGGATTATTTTAAAGTCATTTTGTTTGTATTGGAGTTATATATACAATTATTATTTTTCATAAAATCAATGGATATACATAGACAAGTTTGCAGGTTTTTCCTAGATTACCAAAGTAAACTAAATACTATACTTACAATTATAACCTACTTTACTTATTGGGAATTCAAAAATGTTTAAAAAATATAACCGTAAACCACGAAGCGTACAGCGCATTAAAACAGCTGTTTAACATATCATAAATATGCGTCTTACTGTTGCTAACCATAGACTGTGGTCATAGATGTGATGCTATTTCTGCTAAGACGCATTCGATTACACCTCCATAATACTCAATCAGTAGGTTGTGTTGGCAAATGAACTTGTTTTTTTTTTTTAATAAAGCTAGCGTAATCCGACATATTGTTAATAATTACATATTCAAAAAATATCAACAAGTTCTTATAGTATGCTACAAAATATTTAGATGTAAACAAATTTAGTTTATGGGCAAAAGCGGGATAATGGTAGCTTATTTCCCTTCTTCTTTTTTATATCCAGGCATTTTTTTTGTTTAAACAATCATCAACGAGCAAAATGTAGACACCTTCATTTTTAAAAATGCAACAAGGAATAAGCAAGTATTGCTGCCGACCTTATGATTATTAAAAATAAAGATTTGCTCATGGTCGAATCAAAAATAAGCATATTAATAAACTTTAATAGTATCTAAATCAAATTTTAAACTATCTCAGTCAAATCCGCAAAACTTGACTTTGGAACAAAAACGAAATAATATCACATAATTTCCAATTTTGTAAAATATGTTTTCATCATAAGTTAGTAAATTAAAAAAGAAGGATTCCTAATATCCATACATATAAATAAAATTGAAGTGAATGCCTGATATTACCTTATTTTAAGTAATCCAGAGATGAGATTTTATTTTATTTACTTCAAACAGAAAAACATGAATCATACTTAATCTTTGCAGCTGGTGATATATTACAAACACCACTATTAGTCTAGAAAAACTCCAACATTTAAAAAAGAAGCAAATGCCTGTAAGGTGTTCTTAAAAAATATTTTACACTTAAATGTAGAAAATTAAAAAGGTACTACAAAAAAGTAATTATTAGAAAATACGTATTTTGCATTTAGGATTTAAAATAAAAAAGGGAAACTTATTTTGTATTTTCCATTTGAAACAACAAATCAAAAAAGTACTTGCATTTTGTATTTAAATATTTTTATAAAATCATTTTGCACATCTCTAGTACTATCCTTAAAAAAAATTTGCCTGTCTGTACTAACTAGTCTTTAAAACGGCTGGGCCGAATTTGATAGGACTTTACAGATATGAAAAGGGGGAGCAACATAGGTAACTTAAATTTTCACACGGGTGAAGTTATGCAACAGCCAGTTAAATTATACATTACAACACTCTTTTCTTTTACATGCAATGATCATTTTTATTACTCAGATTTCCTCTCTTGTTTTCATTTGCAAATAGTCAATGTGTTCCATAAAAATGACAGAATTCAGAAGTGAGTTACATTTAATGGGTCAATAATAAATGCAAAGAGAAAGATGTAATTAAAACTAAAGCTTTTCTTAGAAATGTTTTTACTAAATGGAAAAAGTAGAAAATATTTAAACAATTTATATAGTAAAAATATATCACAGTTTATGCGATCAGTTATTAATTTCTTACCTTCCTTCAGACAACGCTAATATACCTTTTAATCCCTTAAAATATCTTTTCTGTGAACGTTCATTTTATAAACATAAATTCAGAAAAATATGTTCATGTGCAAATTAATATAAGATTATTACTTGAATTTTGTACACCATGAAAAGAAAAAAAGACAATGAACTATAATTTCCTTACTTTTTGGCTTTTCATATACCATTACGTTTCGATAAAATTTTTGAAAAAGCTTTCTGTTTAAAAAAATCATAATCCGACTTTTTTAGGTCTACTTTATATGTAAATTTCAAAAATAAGAAAAACCTGTTTTATCCTCCTGAGTATGCCTCCATTTCACGGTGGCGTGCCCCTCCATGTAGTTTTTTCACCCTAAAAGAAATTCAAAATTAGAAAAAGCAATCATTATTTCAGAATAAGATGAATTTGATTTGGCTCTAATGTTAGTACTAATATTATAATGTATTAACAAAAATGAGCTTAAACAACAAATAACGAAAGTGTATGAATTACGTAAGACAATTAAAAAAAACGAAATAAAAACGAGTGCATATAAACATCCATATAGCATTAGGTTCACATTTTTCATTTATTAAGCAAGCTTATTACGGTCTTATCATTATTTTCCTATACATATTTATATACTATATACATGAAAAAAATTGCGTGCTTCATTGTAATTAATTATATGCACTTTATTTATTGAAAATATTTTCATCTGGAAGAACCAAATGTGGAAACTAACAATAAGAAAAAGTTGGAAATACTTTACCTAATTGATTATTCCGATTTTTGCTATGTAAGAAACAGCATTTTTGCATTCGGCTTTATTCAGTTTTTGAGCAATAGTAATGCTTGTGGGATGTATTTAAGTGAGTTTTTATTATTATATTTCGCACTGCCATTTTATAAGTGACTGCTTTATTTAGTTGTTTGGTTGCACATCATACGGAATCGGTTAATTATTGAGCAGAAATGTTTGTTTGGTATTCATTCCCTGAGCAAGAGATTTTTGATTCTTCATTTTACATAGTCTCTCGTACAAATAGCTTCAAACACTTAAGTTTATTAAATCCAATCACAGAATTAATTATACTACTTCTGAAAGAAAACTGTAATATCTTCACTGATGTGTTGGTTTGCACAAGAATTTTTATAAAATTTTCCATACTGAGAGAACTGAATAGAATTAAACAAGGTATCTACCTACCTCAAAATATTGGCTTGTGATGTCTTTGACAATCTTTTTTAGTTAAAGTACTATTTTTTTTTCTGGAGGCATTTTACAAATATCTCAGAACATTTAAATATTATTCTACTGAGGTAAAGTATATGCACATTTTTTAAGAAACCCACATTGTATTAAAAATGTACATTATTTCTTGTAGCTAATTTATATATTATATAAATAGCGTTTTAAAGCAGTATATAAAATATTGTTTATAAACAACAGCTCTTTTATAAATAAAAGTTTAATGTGTAATAAATACAATACTGAATGACGATAATTGGCTCTTGTACACAAAAATTAGAAGAAAATAGTTTACAAATGTTATGGACTTGAATAGATAATAATTGAATAAAGGCCACAATTCACATCTAAATAGTATACAATTTTGAGAAAATTTTGAATTAGATACTATAAAAACTAAACCTACATTGCAACCATACCACAGACCTACGTTTATACGATGCATGCATTAACATTTTATGTCATTTTGTTCATAATAAAACGACCACGCTGGCTAATTATCATGTAAAATAATTTATTTTTTATTAGCAGTCACTTGCTTTTAGCTGACAAACAGTTAGATACTTATTAAAACACACTGTCAACGGTTAATATTTCATACAGTTTCAATAATATAAAATCATATTTAAATTAATTAACGTCACCAATTCCTGTGAAACGATTTCGAAAAAAAATAACTGACGCTCTTATTATTAATTATAATAACCATCAATAATAATAATCGCTTAAACTAAACTATTATTGTTGCTGTTGTTAAATATAATACATTTCTTTTGAGGATCAACAGTCAATCTAAATTTGGGGAAATTAGTTGCGTTTAGGTTGGCCTGTTGCATAACCTGTACCTGAAAAATTCGGTTTAAAAAAGTCCACATTAATCGTCTGTCTTCTACTGGCAAAATTCGTTTTATATTGAGTTACTTAATTAAAATCAAACAACTGCACTCTGACTATTTTCTTATTGGGATTAGATTTCACTGATCAGTGATTACCTAATTTACATCAAACTGCTCTTATTATATTTGTTTCTTTAACCAACACAACTAACAATGCAGTTATTAACGCAAATTTCAATAATGAAAAATGCTGCAAGGGGATGTTTTCCAATACATCACGATTAATTTCCATTCAATATTTATTGTAAACATTTTGTTTGTCAGCTTGTTAATAAGAGAAATAAAAAGTCGGCCTCCTTTTATGTTTTTTGTTTTTAACTGTTTCTAATGCTTTGCTATAAATTGCATACTTTAATTACTATCTATTTATTAAAACTAATAACTTGATTATTTTGGTAGAATGTTTGCTTTTATGCAGTTTTTAAGTGACTTTAGTAATAATTAAAAATTGATCTGTCATGAAAGTGCAGCTCTAAAATATTTTACTCAAAAGTGATGAACACACACGCACGCAGTGGTATGTAACATGAAAAAAAATATTTTAGTGCTTACACACTTACCAGAGCTGTCAGGTGTTAAACTGAAAAATAAAGGATTAAGGTCGTTAATAGAAACGTATATTTATTCGTTTCTTATAATATTTATTTTTGTAGTATTTTCTTCCTGTACTAACTCTAACACACTAAGGATATTTTCAAGACGCAGTAACAAATACAAATATGTAATTGTAAGCTTGCACTATATATATATGATGTGTGAATTATGAATTTTTTATTTCCTAACATTATTCCTCCATTTCCTGACAGCTCCCCATTTATTGAAAAGCAGTCTATACTTCATTTTTAGTATTAAATTGACAAAAATTGATAATGAAAATGAGTGACTTCGTAATAAAATGAAATACAGACATTGCGGAATCGAACAAAATGTATAGTTCAGAAAATAATAATTTTTTCTTTATTTGTAAATAACGTTAACAAATTTGTTAACTTTTATTATTCTATGACTTTTCTATAATAAAGCATACAATTTTAATCGACCCTGCATTTCAAAAATATGTGTGGGTGTGTCTCTTTTTAACGAAGAAACATACGATTGTTTAAAATATTAAAACTCACCGTATCCTCCAGAAGCGTAACCACTCCGACTGTCGTATCCGCCTCCACTGCCTTGACTACTATAACCACCCCCACTACTGTAACCACCGGTACCGTAGCCATCTGAAGGGGCGGGTGGTGGTGCTCCATAAGCGGACGAATATGCATCTCCTGCACTTCCATAGGGTCCCCCGCCTCCACCTCCGCCGCCAGCTTGATAACCACCTGCATAATTCGACGTATCATACTGTCCATAGCCGCCGCCACCACCGCCGCTATAGCTACCTCCACCCCCTCCGCCAGATTGCTGCCCTCCATATGCAGATTGACTGTATTGACCATAAGGTTGAGATTGTTGTTGAGATCCATAACCACCTCCAGCACCACCACCTCCGCCGCTGCCATAATTTTGTTGCCTACTATAAACAAAATTTTATTAAATCGCCATTAAACATTTGAGAAATAAACTGAAAAACTCTTATGGCTATGGAACATAACAAAATAATTTGTACTTTTGCAAAGTAGAACAGTAGCAACAACTATTCTTAAGTATAAATTTCTGTTTAGCTGTATTATTCACGATTTTTATATATGAAGATTGATATTTTGGAAAAGCACATCAGCGACAGAATAATTACTATGGGAACTTAAGTAATACAAGAAATGAAAAATATTATGAAAAATTTAGGCTACGCCTATTATTTACCTTTGTCCATAACCATTGGAACCACCTTGTTGATCATCAAATCTAGGTCGTTTCCCACCAGGCCCACCCATACCCATTGGTCTCTTGTGGGGCATTTGCCCATTTCCTCCAGGTGGTCCTCCCCTGCGGAATGGAGCTTGTCCTCTGCCGCCTCGGTCACCACCGCCAATACGACCCATGCCTCGACCTCCAGGACCGCCTCGCCCTCCACCTCCAGGACCACCTCTGCCGCCTCGAAAACCACCGGGTCCACCTCGTCCACCAGGGCCACCTCTCATACCTCCCATTCCTCCACGTCCACCTCTGCCGCCAAAACCTCCCCCAGGTTTAACGTCGCCACCAGGACCACCCATACCACCTCCTAAATTTACCATACCCCCTCCTGGTTAACAAGTAGGTAACCAAAGCAAAATAAAATAAATAAAACAAAATTAAAAAACAATAAATATGAAGGATGAAATGATGAAACAAAACCATGTAATACACAAAATAAACTATTCTAACAGCAGTGAAAATGCTTATGGATCTATATAAATATTATTTGATCATATTTCATAAATGTATTCCAAACTTAATAAAACAAAAAAAACAGTTCTTACAATAGCTATAAACATTGCTTTCCTACCTCTAGGTCCACCTCTTGGAGCTCCTCTTGGTCCTCCCCTTCCTCTCATCATACCACCTCTGCCAGGAGGACCTCCCGGTCCACCTCTGTAAGATAGTAATAATAAATATGAAAACAGAAACCATTCAAAATTTCAAGACAGTGTAAGTAATATATTTTCAGCATACCTTCCTCTCATAAAGCCTCCTCTACCTCGTGGTGGACCTCCTCGACCCATTCCTCGACCTCGGCCTCCACCTCCTCGATTCTGTGGTGGTCCATTATTAGCATCACCAGCACCATTAGCTGGAGCAGCAGAAACTACTGCAGGTGATGCTGCTGTTACTGAATCAGCCATTTTCTGCAATATAAAAACGTTATTACTAATCAATCACATTTATTATGTATAAAATACATAAACTACATCATAAGGAGTGCATTAGTTCAATAAGTAATTTTCCAAAAAAAATAAATATTAAAATTCAACCTACATTAAAATTGCAACGTAACCTTCAAAAATCAACAAAGAACTAATAAAGCTGGGAATACTATTAAGTAAAGCGAATTAATTAGGAGTTCTTGCAGTACGTTCGATAACCTCTAGTTAGTTCTTAATGCTAACTACTCACCTACGTAGGAAGCTTTTATTTAATTTTAAACCATTTGTATAATAAATATATTTACTACTGCTAATTTTCATGTGCATTAAAAATAGAATGAATACACTACTGATTGACTTACTTGTTATAATAGGTTAAACGGCTGTTTTTAAATTTACTTTTCGTAACAAGAGACCGGCAACATACAACTACAACAACGACGAAACTACCAAAATGACCAAAATGGACGAGATGGACGCTGAGAGCTGATGGCGCTCTGTACTCTCACAACCATAGCAGACCATAGATACTTTTAGTAGTACTTCCCAAGTTTAGTTCCGTCAACGCCCGCTGTATTTCCGATTGCAAAGTGCGGTAAAATTAAAATAAATATTTCAATATGCGAAGATAAAAAGGGAACAATTATTTATAATTGATTAAAGAGGTATTATAACTAACATTATAGTCGTGATTTGTCTAGTTCACTTTAATCATTTTTTAAAAATTAAATAGCAAGATTATAGTGTTCATTACATTTAAATACCTATTTGCTCATTATAAGCCACATTATCTATGACAAAAACAATATAAAAAACTACTTACAAATGTTAAACAACTTGCATTGCCTAAAATATATTATTAACAGATCTTTGTAAATTAACATATGCGCAGTTATTTAAATATTCTTAAACCTTTTGGTATTTTAAATACATAAAAACAAACAATTGTACACTCAACTTTTAGTTCAAAATTTCTAAGAAATGTTTAAAAGCGCGTTATTCTTTTAATCACTTGCCTATAAAGTACCATTACCCGGTTAAAACTCACCAAATTACTTACAGGTTAATTGTATATACATATTAAATATACCTCTTTCATTAGACATTATTGTAAAAAAATTAACTTGGTCACGTTTGTCTATTTACCCCTCTATTAAAAATTTGAAACTCACGTAAAATAAGAATCAAGTTCTAATACTCCAAGCCAAATGAAGATTACGTTTTGGAAAAATACATCATGCTTTTGTTTAAGTTTTTCTTACCTTTAAAAACGTCTTAGGTCTCGGGGAATTCCTGCGTATGTTTTCAGATGTTTTTCAGATGAGATGGAAGGTACTGAAGTTTTATTACCGATTACCTACATACATTAAATAAAACATTTAACCGTCTTGAAAAAAGATTAATCTAATCGTAAGTACTTGAAGTTAAAAAGCAAGTCAATTTAAAAAGACCATATGTATGGTAATTCATAGTTTTATTTCATTTTTAAATACTAAATAAAACAAAAAGACAGGGATCTAAAACCATGTTTAAAATAAATAATTAATATACATTTACAATATTACACTTTAGTATCACTAACAAAACATGCTAAAACTTAAAGACCAGATTTTCAGCATTTTATGAGCTTTGTCATTCTTGACCTAGATCAGCAAAGAGCAATTCATAATTTTATTGTTATTTGTCAATGTTAATTTTTAACATTGCAACCAGCCTTTACAAAACAGTCTATTTTCATGGAAGATAAACAAGCATATTGAAGCACGATTAAATGCGTTGAATATTTGTTGAATGAAATTCGATGTGTATTTTGGAATTTGCTTCATTCAAATTTGCTTCCTATTAAAGTCTATGCCTGTTATGTAGATAACTCCCTAAACCTGTGGCTTCAACACCTAAAACAAATTTTAATAATAAAAAAAACATGTTATTAGCACTTTTAAAGTAGTAAAATTAATTTTCACTTGCTTTTTGTCCAGTTTAGTACTTTATATCCAGCATACTGAAATGCTGTATTATTTTTACCTGACGTTCTCAGTTCTCATACTTTTGTTTTGTAGTCATTATGTGAAACACAAGATGTTCAATTGCATGATCAAAATTTGTTACTTTAAATTGTAATTTTCACAACCATTTAACAGTTTATCCAATATTCAATTTCAATTGTACACCAATCCTCATTAAATAAATAATAGAAAATTTTTCAAATAATGGTAAGATTGCAAGTATTGTTCGTTCCACTGATACCTATAGCTTTTTAAGATGTTTTTAAAGACAAAAAAAATTACCAATACAATTTTTTTTAATATGGACAATGAGTCTGTACAAACGTCTGTCCCTACATAGAAAAATTGTAATTTTTTTGTGTTTAAAACACTATTTGTATCCTATATGTATACTTGAGTATATCCTAAAAATTTGCAATTTAATTTCAATGATTGGATTTTATTTTTTTATTAATTTTTTGAGGTTTTAGTGTTTTATTAAAAATATGACATAATTGAAGAACATAAAATAATCATTTCCGCGCGTTTAAAAATCTCTTTTAATTTACCTTCAGCAAGTTTTCTATGTTTTTGATGTTTCTGATTTTGAGGGGATGCAGAGAGATGACTTCTTATTTTACTAGCTGGGGGATATGGCGAATGAGATCCTACAGTACAAGATCTTCCTTTACAAGCTACTAATGTCTTTAGTAGATCATGCAAATATGACCGTTCTTCTGGCTTTAGCTGACTAACTCTATTTTGGAGCTCAAATGGATCTAAAAATATTCCATTTTAGTTTTTATATCAAAAAATTAATTGAAAGAAGTTAAAAATTATGTACCTATACGTAAATTGTAGAATGTAACTAATCCTGTAACGAATTCGCAGTACAAAAAATTATGCGTAGCGTTAATTGTTCTTACGCATGAATAAGTGTTATTATTAGCATTCATACAAAAGCAAAAAGGTCCGGAAGTCCATAACGGTTCCGTTCTCCAATGCTCGTTATCATGACTAAAGCAGTTCATTTTTTCAGCTAAACATTCTTTCTCCAATTTGGCCTTTTTACGTTGTTTTCTTTCCTTTTTCTTAAGCCTTTCTTCTTTCAATTTCCGTTTTGCTTCTTTTGCCAAATCCTTTTCAGCTTGCTTATGAGAAATATCACAATGACAAACTTCATTCATAATATTTGGTTCCTTGTCTTCAGTATCTAGTGTAGGAGGTTTTTTAAATTGGTTTGTCTAAAACAAAATTATTGGCTTTGATAGTGTACATATTTAAAATCCATAAAAAAAGGCAATTAAGTTAGTGTTAATGTGTAAACATTATTACATCAGGAGCAGAATTTTAAAAAGTTGTAGTGAACTTTGTTAAAATTAGGAAAAGCAAACACTTGAATTAGTAAGTAAGATTTACCCACCCTAGTAGTAGTAGTACTCGAATAAGATTCAGTTGGTTTCCTTGAAGTGGATGAAGGTTCATTTGCAACTAGTTCAGTTGAGAAAGATATTTCTATCGTGTTGGTTTCTCTGAGTAAATTTTCTGTTGTAATTGAATAGTTTTCAGTAGTGCGAGAAGTTGTCGACCGTAAATCGGTAATTGTACTACTAATATTAAAACCTTTATGCTTGTGATTTGAATATGGATTTTTTCGTTTGTGGTGGTAATGGTTGTGACGATGATGATTTAATGGTTTTGACGTATGTTCCGGCGAACTTGTAGAATAATAGTTTCTTTCGCCCAGTGTGTCCATGCTATTAATATTAAAAATATCTTCTGTGCTAGACTGATGATGCTCCATTGGAGTGCTACTAAAGGTTTCTGAGTGGGTATTATTTTCTGGGTTACTTTTTTCAGTAGTGTTGTAGCTAACCGTCATTTTTCTAATATTATATCTATTGTTTGGAGTTTCATCAACTGTCCAGTTTTTGTTCGGCTTGCGAGGATTCTTGGAGAAATCCGAATTCGATAGACCAAAATCGAATCGGTTTTCGTCTGAAGAGTCGTAATGTGGTTTTGCATGTTTCAATTGCTTCCGGAATTCCTTTAAACCTTCCAATTGCAGTCGCAGTTTGTGGATTTCTGCGTCTACACGATCTTTTGAAATTTTCCACGTCTTTTTGTCGCTGTAGAAGAGACTTGTGCAATTTATTAGGCCGTTTGGTAGAAGAGTACAACCAGGATTGTCCGTCAAGATTGAGTTAGATGTTTGTAACGCATTTTGTGCCAATGGCGATTGAGCTGCCTAATTTTTAACAAACATTTAATTAACAAAGAAAAAAGAAGATGATAACTATAATAACCTTTACCTGTTCGAGTCCGCTTATTTTATTTTTGATGTTTCTCATTTCAGAATTGACTTGTCTCAGTGTATCTCTTCTGTTTCTGTAATTGGCCTGTCTACGTCCATGTTTCCTCACGTTACGTGATAATAATACTGAAGAATCTCGTTTCTTAAGACGGGGATCTTTTTGAGTGGAATTTATCTGAAAGCTAACAACGTGCTTTTTTGTTGTTATTTTGTTATTTGTGTACGCTTACATGCAATCGCTTATAAACAACTCCTTCTTGAGTAAAACAGGCACATCTTTTATAGTTCTTGGAATTCGTTGTTTCTGGCATCGGAATTTGAAGTTTGCATTTGTGCTTACGCCATCGACCGTTTTCTAACTGACAGTACCATTTCTGTGCCTGCCTGCACGGTAGTTGTAATTTGTCCTGCTTACATTCAAATTCTAGCCGTTCAATTTTACTTGTCAAGACCGGAGATACTTGGGGTGTAAGACGATTATCTAGTTGTACCTCTGACTCTGAAAATTATTTAATATTGCAATTTGTATGTATGGAGCACGCAAACTTTAAACATTTACATAATGGGCCTCACTCCCTTTCTATGTTTGTAATATACAACCATTTAGGATATAAACTACATATTTGTAAATTATTTTAGATTTATTTTAATAATCTTTTCATAATATTTAGAATTTGTGAGCATGTTCTAGTGTTTAATTAATGATAAAAAAATAATACTATCGACACTTACCAGCACCGATACTGGGCAACGGTATTGTTTGATCACCAATTTCTTCTGATGTCTGTATCTTTAAATCCACATTAACCTCATCATGATTTCCTTCACTTGTGCTTTTAACATCGTCTTCATCAATTTCATCATCTTCTTCTTCATCTGCTTCTTCTTCTAAATCGTCTTCATCTTCATGTGACTCATATTGTTTTAAGAATGGTTTGAAAGTAGTTGTAGAAGATGTAGTATCATTTCTAATTAAATTAGCTGACGAAAAAAAAAAACTGAGTACAACTCGTATTCTTGTAATTCCAAAAAATTAAAATACATACTTTCTAGAAGATACTTTTGAGCTCTAGCTTTCGTTTCTGAAACTGGCTCACGACGACCCGAACTGAAAATAGATTTGTCTCGTAAGTATTCTTTCCAAGACATTTTAATTTTTTTAAATTTATCATTTTTTGAATGTATTTAAAAACTATAAGAATGTTTGTAAAAGACGGTCAAAGGCTCCGTTAAGAAGTGAAACATTCCTACCATCCTACAATACAAGTGTGTTCGTTATATGTGTAATATTGTGAATTAACTTTCAGCCGACAAGTTCCTGGAAATGGGAAGCACGTAGGTCAATATTATTGATTACTGTATCAAACTTCAGATTTCTTCACTGGAAGGACGCATAGATGTACTTACGAAAATTCGGTTTTTTGTTTTGAGATTCCAAAAATGGCGTAAATGGCTTGTGATATATCTGTTTGTCTGCATAATTAGGGTTTCGTACCTAATAATAGTTCTACAGACGAATGAAACTATACTGTTTACGATATGATAGGTACCTTTCAATTAGAAATGTGTCAGGCCACTTAAGTTTTTTCCTTTTAGAGTTGAGAAACAATGGCAAAACAGATCGTCCGTCCATATGATTTGGTGCTTCGACACCCGCCATATGTAAAAATGTCGGTGCCAAATCAATGTTTAGAACTATATCATCTACCACAGTCCCTGGCTCTACTCCAGGTCCCCTGACTAGAAATGGCACTCGGACATCAAACTCAAATGGAAAACTTTTACCCTAAAATTATTTTAATAAAGTTTATTTCCGTTATGAATAGCTCCAGTAAAAGTACACCACCTTTATTAAACCGAATTGTCCTAGATGATAACCATGATCTGAAGTGTATATGATGTACGTATTGTCTAATTCTCCAAGATGATCCAATTCATTAACAACTTTTTCTACAGCGGAATCGACACTTTGCAGTGTCTGAAGACGTTTTGTCATTAACAAGTCGGTGAATTCTTTATGGATAGGTTTCATTTTGTTTGTTATTTGTAATATCCATTGTTTATCGGGATTTGGTGCATAATCGTATGATGGGGTACTTTAAAAAGTAAAAGAAAGAATAGAAAGTTGTAGAGTATTTTCATTTTTAATAACACTAATACTACAGAGAACAGATAATCTTTAAGGAATTAATTGATTTCCATTTTTCTTCTCGATAATTTAAATTTTGTAGAAACAAATTAGAACTGTTTAAGTAAATAAATTCATTAACAAATTGCAGATGCTCCACTCATTTGTTTTGAGCTTTTCTGAGGTCTTCCATTTCCAAATTATTACAAAAATTGAATATACTTACTGATGAGTCGTCACGTTAAAAAACAAATGGGAATACTGTGGAGCAGAATCTTCTGGACCATGCGGAGCTGGGAAAGACATTGTCAACATCACAGGTTTGTTGTTATTGTACTTCTTTGATTGTCTTAGAAAAGCGATCGAATCATTTGCTATTAGATCTGGATAGTAGTCCTTAACAAAACATATAATACATATTGATGACAACTTGGAATAAAAATTTATTCTACAATAATTATATATATAGGTATGCAGAATTGACCAAAAAGTACGCAATATGCTCATTGTGGTCAAAGTATAAATGTAAAGAAAAAAAAATTTCAAACAACACTTCTTTTCTATTTTAAAATATTATTAAATTAACAGCTAAATTTAATTAACTATACAAAGTGAATTACTACAAATAGCGAGGTAGACGCCATCCGTAGTGAAATTTTCAATTGTCGAATTAAATCCACGGCGCAGGTAGCAATATACCACAGTTGGATTTAGATATCATGAGGTTAATATTCGGAATAGAGACTTGAACTTTTGTAGTAAGATAGATAAAGCTTTGTTCTAAATTCTGTCGAAGGTCATCTTTTAATTTCTATTGAAAATATGTGTCCTATAAGACGCATCAACTTTAAACAATTGTAAAAGGTAGAGTGAGGAGTAGAGACTGTTTAAGACGCGTTGATAAGATCTAAATCGCGACTAGCATCAGACAGTGTTCATTTTTGAAGGTATTTTTAACAAATTTTTACAATTAGTATGTTTCATTATTATCTATTCAGAAAGCTTCAGCTGGTATATGTAATATGTAAATTATGAGGAAAACTGTTTTTTAGATACTGTCACGTTTACATATTTAGTTTACTATATATATTTTTGGTTTTTTTCTTTTTCATTCGCAAAGGGTTTCTTAGATTTTTACCATATATAAAAGTTCAATTGCGAACTTTTTGGGTAATTTGAACCGAAAGAAAAAAAACTTTCAAATATCGCCGCGATTTCTTGTAGGATATTATTATTTGGTATTTTGAATAACTTTTTTAATATTTTAACAATGCTCCTATTTAAATAATACCTTACTTTTTCTATTTCTGAATATTCTGTACAATAAATTAAATTTTGCTGTTACAGACGATCTTATATTAAAACAAGGAGCACGCTTTAGATGAAAAATTTATGGTTTTAAAGTTACATTGCACATACTTTTTTTAATATCAAACAAACATTAATGAAATAAAAAAATCAAACACTAATGTACCTATATTTATACCTACACCTATGTAGTAATAAGAGAACATACATAAAATAATAAATGAGAAGAGTAGTTTGCGGCTTTCAGTAAATACTACAATTTTCTATTTCTAAATAACAATTCACTTCCGTGAAGATTCAGTTTGTCGATAGGTCTAGAGTAGCGATACCCAAGTTTTTTTTTTGCTACGAAACCCTTATTAACCAACCCTTCCTTTTTGACTAGAAGGGGTTCCTTCTAGTCAAAAAAGTAAATAGTTCTATGACTAAGACTCTTGACACCTTATTATGAACGTGCTGTACATATCAATTTGAAAATTTGAATCCAAAATCTTTATTGCACGTATTTAATGTGAATATATATATATAATAGCACTAAAATTGGGTTTAATATTCCCAAGTGTTTTTTTTTGCTACGGACTCATTAACCAACCCATTTTGTGGAACCCCTTCTAGACAAAAAAGTAAATTGAAAATAGTATCCGTTCTTAAAAATTTTGTGATATACAGAGGTGTATCTTAGATATTATTCTAAGTATAAAAGCAATCCAAATGCGTAAGCATGTGTGATTTTTAATTAATTACATTTAAATGCTTCGTTTTAAAGTTAGAGTTGTTACTTTGTTCTTTTGCCTTTATTAATATGAGTTTTTCAAAACATGTATATGTATATATAAGTGATATTAAATGTATAAAAGTTCGTTTGTTCATGAAATTACTACAAATGGCACGGTAGACGCCATCTGTAGTACGATGCTACATTTTGGGATTACCTATGCTCCAACAATATCCATTTAAATATATGGATATCTACTTGCTGAAACGAATCCCGGCGTAGCTAATCTCATCGTGATAGGCACGTTACCATAATCGAATAAAATAATTCGAAGTGGTCTGTATTCTGCCAAAACTGCCAGACGCGGATCGCGATTTCGATCTTTTTGGATCTCATCAGTGCGTCGCAGACAGCTTCGACAGAACACAGACCAACTTTTACCTGCTATCTTAACAGCGCGTTTTAAAAAATACCACGGCTACAATTGTAGCTTCGTACTACAGATGGCGTTTACCGCGCCATTTGTGGTATTTTCTAAAACACACTGTTAAGACAGCAGGTTTTTGGTCTGTGTTCTGTCGGAGCTGTTGGCGACGCGCTGGTGAGACCCAAAAATATCGAAATCGCAATCCACGTCTGGCAGTTTCGACAGAATAGAGACCACTTCGAATTATTTTATTAAATCAGCTCTTCAGGGAAGCAATGTTATTGTATGCTAATAATTAATTTAATTTGTGTATTACGATAATAGCAATATATATTAGTTACTTACCTTCTGATAATCAAATCCATGTTTTATTTTCTTTCCATTCATGTTAATGGAATAATTATAATATTTGGAATTCATAATTAAACCACCCCACTCTCGCCAGCCCGGTGGAATATACGAGCCGTTGTATTTATTTAAATATTTTCCAAAGTAACCTGCAACAATACAAAAGACGTGAAAACACTTTTCATCAGATACAAAACGTATGTCGTATGCTCACTTTCATTTTTCTCATGAACATCCACACTATTTTTATTAAATTATCATTTTTTTAAAACTTTTTAAGGTTTCATTTCACAAAAGTAAAACGGCGATTGCTTTAAAATCAATTGACAGGAAAAGTCAGACAAAAAAAAGAGGGATCATAAACTAAAATATGTTTGTGGATTATGTGGGTTATTGTTCTGTAAATGATTCAAGAAGATCTTTTATTATTGTTACGCAGCATCAGAGATGTACAAGATACCTTAGAAAAAGTATCTGGAATACAAGTTACAAGATACTTTTCAGTAACGCATTTGAGATATCAGATACGAGATACTTTTAGAAATTGTATTTAAAAAACTATTAGATACAAAACACATATAAAATAAAATACTTTCTGAAAATATATTTTTATTAATATTAACTTGAGGTTTATTTAGCTTATTACATTATTTATGTTTATTATGAACAGTGAACGCGTAAATGTAATTAAATATTATATTGATTGTGAGACTTGAGTAAAACCAGTTCTTCAAACATTTTATGATTCATCTTCCTTTGATGAGGTCTAATTATCATCCTCCAAATGAGATAAGCTGCTCCACAGGAGCATAACTTGGCAAACAGGTGTTATATTTTAAAAATAGTTTTTTGTTGTAGGATAAAAATTTAAATTATTCAGACTGACGTCTTTATTATTTAAGTATTACAGTGTTTCTAATTCAGCGGACTGCCAGAGGACCCTATGTCGTCGCCACTTGCAACAGAGGAATCAGAGTCTTCTAAAAACATGTAATAAGATTCGTCTTTTGTCTTTTTTTTACGTCTTCTTCATCGCTATTTAAAGACTGCAATTACTCTTTTTCAAATTGGTTAATTTTATGTGTTTTAGTCAGTTCCTTCACATGTTCTTTATCTCCTTTTGGTACCCATTTCATTTTAAAGAACGGATGTGACACTAAGGCTAATATTGCATCACTTGCTGCAGGCTCTAACTGTAGAAACTTTTTAACATATTTAGGCTTTCATCGATCTAGTAAAGTTCCGCAATATTTTAGTGTTTCCATTTTAAGTCATTTGATGATATAAAATGTAGTATTATGGTCTTGTGAGTTGTGATTACATTATTTTTATCCAAAGTCGTTAACAAAGTGAATATGATTATGTTTAAATACATCTTGTTAACAAAAAAAAATTATACGAATAAAATCAAGTACATTTAAAATAGCATAAAATTCTATTTGAAAAACGTTCTGATGCATTCTTTCGTCAAAGTGGTACTTCGTAAAATGAAAACATTAGAAATCATGGTTTCTATAAAATTTTTCTCTAACTTTTTGAATGTTTTTGAATATAAACACTAGAGTGATCCAAAAAACTTTTTTGTTTCTTTTATAAGTAGTGTTAACTAGTTGCAAATACGTATAAAAAGAACTCTAGTCCAAGCAGAACTCAGATTATTGATATTATTGGTGAATAATTGAACTTTTTATTTTTGTAAGGGGAAAAATCATTCATCATTTTTATCTTGAGAATAAAAATATTTACATGAACGGAATTAAGTACATTGAGAATAGCATAAAATTTTCTTTCGTCAAGGTAACACTGTTTATTAGCGTTCAAAATTGAGAAATATTTTTTTGATCCAGAAAAAATCGATTTTACAATAAAAACATTTACAAATCAAGATTTTTATTAAATTTTTCCTTTTTCCCAACCTGAATATTTTGCAAGGATTGTGAATCCATAATAATTAATTTGCAGCTATAATTTTATGTAATTTGCTTCTTCTTAATGAAATTATTTCCTAAATTTTTTTATTGAGGTCTTATTTATTATTTCGCGACTACCGTTCTGTATTTGGAATAAACGAGTTTTGTACCTTTTTAATGCGAAATGGTTTCCCTGGAAATCTTTATGCTCGAATGATTTTGTTCGTGATCAAGGTAAGTACCTAATAAAAGCTTCAAATTTCAGCTTTTTATTACATATAATAAAATGAGTACGTTATATACACCCAGTCTTCAATATTTCCAAGATCGCCTGACTTACGAATTCATTATATTAATCAAAGTTATTTTGAGTTTTACGATTGGCGTGCAAATATAAAGTTTTCATTTTAATTATCTTTTCATTAACGGTAATATTAACATGAAATGTAGTTTGTACCACTATACAATACTTTTATGATTATATTGTTGCTCTAAATGAAATATGCACCCACTACCGTATATTGTAATTAATAAAACTAGAAGTTATAATCAAGTGCGTGTTTGATTACCTGGTATAAAAATTTCCATATAATTTCTTTAAGGCGGTCGAGTAGTTTCATGGGGCATAACGAAAACGTAAGTGCTTCTACAAATTGCTACGTACAGACAACTCAACATACTACCACGTGTAGACCACCCAATAAACAAAGACACAAAGAAGACTTTTTAAATGTCACATTCTGGATCATTCTAGAATATACTACCCATAAATAGTTGCCGCGAGGTGAGAAAAAACACCGAGCGGCATGGCCTGGAGGTTTAGGCTAGTGTCCGACCGAAACTGATTTTTAAGACCGAAACCGAACCCGAAATCGAATTTCGGCAACGGTCTCAGTTTCGGTCGAAACCGAAACCGAAACTTCCTTATAAGGATCATGTTTTGAGAGAAAAATAAAGAAAACGTTATTATAATCACTCAGTTTTATTTTTTTATCTTTAAATCACATAGCTCTGCAATCTTTGACATTTTCATTTATTGATAATCAAATCAAAATCAACATAACAACCCCTCATTTAAGGAAATACTTTAATTGCGCCTTAAAAATACTTAAAATAGGTGAGATGTTTATTTGAGTAAGTATAGTAGACTAGACTCATTTTTCTTTTGAAGATTATTCATGCTTTTTTTTATATAATCATCATCATAAGGATAACTATTTACCATTCTAC